ATCAAAATCAAGGGACATACTTGGCGCCATCAGCTCGAAGTTGGTTTCTTAAATTCAATGGAGCAATTTGGGTCAGATCAGCTATGGCTTTTCTATTTATCTCGTCATGAGTTCTTGGATATAGATTGGCATGAGACCACTAAGATATCTTGCCATGTTGAGGTTCTGTTTACAGTCCATGGCACAGGATTTTATGTAAAGAAGTTTGAGGTTCGTCTAGTGTACGAGGAAGATGTGTTCGAGTTTAACCAAACAACGGATCAATTGCAGTTTTCTAATTATGAGAATTTTGATGTTGTTCACCAAGTGCTTGATGAATCAGAAATGGATGGTGCCTTGGTTAAGAGAAGCTACAATGATTATATCAAGAGGGATGGAGCAGAATCCAGTGGAAGAAGCAACTTTGATATTGAACCACATACTAAAAGATTGAAGGATTCTGATTGAAGAATTATATTAATTATCTTATTATTAGTGATTTGAAACTTTATTCTAACTATTAGTTGATTGTTCGCTATTTATGCTAGTATTCAAATGTATTATACACATGATATATTGTTGATTTTTGTTAAGTTTTTAACTACTGCTTGATAAGGCCATTCGAAGGATTAATGAAAAAAGAGAGAGAAATTTAGCAGCGGATATAGAGATGCACAGCTTACCAAACAATATTTGTCTCCATTTAAAATTCATAAACCTAGTGGGATAGGAGAATTGCGCTTGGACCAAGCCATGAGGAGACTGGCTAGGAAAGAAAGACTATCATTAAAGGAGGGGCAGAGCGAATGTTACAATACGAAAAAAGAATCCCCTTTTGAGAACCTTTATCACCTTTTATCACATACCTAGACCCAGAAGAGAGCAGAGCTTCAGGCTCACGTTTTCACTAAAAGAATCAAGCTACCATCTCCATCACACACAGGCGATGGCTCAACAAACAAAGTGATAACGTTACAAACAATGAGAAAAGCGTCGTATTTGTGGAAATTAGAGACACCTATAATGTTTTTAAATTAAGCTGTGATAATAAAAAAGTTGAGATGCAATTACAACGATAAACCCTTCCCTTCCGGGACAATTTTTATTTGACTACTATATTCCTTTGCATTTTTGGACAAAGATCTCTCTCTTTCTTTCCCTCAGCCTCTGTGAAATTACTCTCTCTTTGAGGGAGAAACGAACAAACAAACAAGTGGAATTCATCAAAACTTTGAGAAAGCTTTTTCAAAGTAAGTCTGTCCTTACTCTTTATGTATATATATTTCTTTGGATTCTAAGTTGCTAAGGCACAACCACTGAGAAAAGTGTCGTGTTTGTGCAAATTAGAGACACATATAATGTTTTTAAATTAAGCTGTGATAATAAAAAAGTTGAGATGCAATTACAACGATAACCCCTTCCCTTCCGGTACAATTTTTATTTGACTACTATATTCCTTTGCATTTTTGGACAAAGATCTCTCTCTTTCTCATTTTTGGACAAAGATCTCTCTCTTTCTTTCCCTCAGCCTCTGTGAAATTACTCTCTCTTTGAGGGAGAAACGAACAAACAAACAAGTGGAATTCATCAAAACTTTGAGAAAGCTTTTTCAAAGTAAGTCTGTCCTTACTCTTTATGTATATATATTTCTTTGGATTCTAAGTTGCTTCACGTGTTGAAGTGATTTGCTTTTGTTTTGGTAAAATTGCTTGGAAGAAAATTTCTTCTACTTACAGGCTTAAAGGATTATTTGCACACATAAAACGTAGAAGGTTGATTTCTTTGCATAAAGAGATCAAATCTTAAAAATTTCAGTCAACAACTGCACTAACATGAATGAATCATGAACAGATAATTGGACAAATTAAAGCTGTTAGTTCAAATTTTTTGGACCTCATAGAAAGTCTGATTTACTTGAACATGGATAAGTTCGTTCTCCTTGATTCAAAATATGGACCTTCTAGTTGGGATAAGTTGATTTGAATTTTTTTTCCTTTTAATTACTTGTCGAGTCCTAGCTAATTTCATATTATTTTTTTAAAAAATTAATTTTCTTTTTTTTCCTTTTAATTACTTGTCGAGTCCTAGCTAATTTCATATTATTTTTTTAAAAAATTAATTTTCTTCTTTTTGTTAATTTCTCTAGGTTTCGAACTTGAAATGTGATAGCCTTAGAGCCTAACTGTTATACCACTGAATGTCAGTTTAGTTTAGCCGTTGGGCGGTTGCTGATAGTTAGTGGGTGAAATCAATAGTTGTTCGAAAATTTTATTAAGTATGAACACCTGATTAAAAAGTTTAATAAATACTTACAACCCAACTATTGAGTCGGATACATAAACCAGCTAAACCAAATGCCTCCCAAACGATCAAATATAAAGGTTGGAGTCAAGAATTATATGTCATGTCAAGAATATATATACTGCATGTTTTAAGGAAAATTCTTTTACATGGAAAATTCAACTGTGAATAATAGAAAAAACAATTATTGAATTGGATAATTAAAAATTTATGAACACAGAAATTTACATGGAAAATTCAACTGTGAATAATAGAAAAAACAATTATTGAATTGGATAATTAAAAATTTATGAACACAGAAATACATTTTTTTAATTATATTTAATTTAATTATTTACTTGTGGCAGAAGGTGACATGCACTTAGTTGAAGAGGGTAACAGTCTAATTTATTCATGCTTCTTCATTCAAATTATGGACCTTCTAGTTGGGGAATTGATAATTTGAATTATTTCAGTGGAGAAAAGTACCTTTGGAATTGTGATGTTATTTTTTAATTATTTGTTCGTTCTTCTTGGTTATACTTGATTAATTATCTACTTGGCGCAGAAGGTGACTTGCACTTGTGGAAGAGGGAAACAGTAACTAAAGCTCCTGCATAGCATAATGAGGCTGTTTAGATTGCCTGCTACAAACAACAGAGAAACCAGTCCATCTTTTCCATGTCATTTGAAACTTCAAAATGATTTGGTGGGAATGGATTTACGCCTGGAGGAGCTGAACTCATGCATAAGTATAGGATCGGAAGATGTTCGTATTGTAGGAATCTATGGGATGGGAGGAATAGGAAAGACAACTATTGCTAAAACTTAT